GAATGCACTATCTCATTAAATGATTAAACATTTTAAAAAGTATTGGTTCTTAGAAATTAAAACCCATAATAAAAAATGAACAAGGATCAATTCACCTATAGCATTGATATAATAAGATTCCATTTATAAAGCAATGAATTCAGCATTGGTACTAAATATAAGTTACAAACCTAAAGTAGAGAAACAAGATTACTAACAGACAGAATGGGCTTTAAAACTAATACAGTAATTCCTAAAATCATTTAAATGGAAGGACATCACATTTACCAGAAAAGAATGGATTCTTAGAAGGAATAGTACCCCTATAGTACCCCCTCCAATTCCAGAAAAGGTAAAACCAAATATAAACTTACAAAAAATTGAGCAATATGAAGATGGTAAAGTAACACTAAAATTTAATCGAAGTCAAAGTTCTAGATATACAGGGTCATCGTCTTCTGTCATTACAGATGATATTGAAAAACCCTCTTCAAATATACCTTCGGTCATTTATGCAAAATATAAAGATACTGAACCCAAACCTATTATTCAAACATTAGTCAAACCCAGGTACTCTACTTCAGATATTCCAAGTTTAGCAAATTCATCACCTGAATCACCAACAGCTTCAGCTATAACTGAAAATATACATGAAATAAATAGGGAACTAAATGTACTTAGTAAAGACGACATTGCGAAAGGACTAATAAAAGAAATATCAAAAACCAAAAATTTAATGAAATTAAATAGCATACCTTTGAGGATTTAAAATATGAATACTTGAATTATAGCCTAAATACTCAAACTAACATCAAGTTCTTTGATTGGTTTGCATTAACTAAAGAAAATGGTTCCTCTAAAAGTTTAAATCCAATTACAGTTAGAGATAAGCGACCAGAATGGATTGTAAATGATAGAACTATACAAAGTGATTTTCCACCTAAAACAATTAGTAAACTAAAATTAAAATATCAAGAAAATGAAATTGTTTGTGCCCCATATAAAATAGCTAGAGAAAATGATACAGATAAAAAACTAATAGAACAAAATAATTTTAGTAATGCAAGTTTGATTTGTTTAAATACACAATTAAAACGAATAGAAAATTTGTTAGAAGAAAAACCCAATTTAGATAATAATGTAAAAGGTAAAGAAAAGATAAAATCTCACATATTTAAACCATATCGACTTTCTCTATCTAGTCAAAAGGAATTACAAAATAAATTTATAGGAACATTAAAAGATCAATTAAGTAAACTCGAATTATATTCAGAATCTACGCAACATGTAGCACCTGAAACCCCTCAAACATCTAGAAATATAAATATAATAGAAGGAAACTCTTACTCTGAAATCAGTGAACCTGAATCAGAAGACATAAAACAATTTGAAATCAATCCCATATCACATAGAGAAATAGTAAATAGAGCACCAGATTTAGGCTTAATAGATAAACCAAATCACATATCTCAATTCAAATATAATGCTACTACAATTTATGAATGGGAAATGGGAATTATAGATGGATTTATCTGAATATATATATTAAAGTATATTGCAACAATGACTATGGCCAGCTAATGCCTTATAAAAACTCAGTCAATTATATCAGATAGGGCTTAAAGCAGAAATAATTATAAGCAGGATACAGGCCAATTAAAGGTTTTTTGGTGGGATTATCATTCTAACTGACCATCACATTTAGAAATACTAATTTTCATTTCCAGCGTAATAGTGAAGGAGACCCACATATATGATGAAAATGGGTGAAACCTATTCAAGATGCCAGTATCAACATTAAGTTCTCACTATTTCACTATTTCATTACATTTTATAGGAGATCCCTCACATTTAAAAGATAAAAATGCAGAATTACTAAGCAATCTAAAATGTAAAAAATTAAGTGACTTTCAATATTATAAAACCACTTTCCTTACCTGATTAATGTTACGAGAAGATTCAAATCAAGCCTTTTGGAAAGAGAAATTCTTAGCCGGATTACCTTTTTTCTTGGGCGAAAAGGTTAGAAATTATATAAAACAACAATTTGGCAATCCAATACCTTATAATAAATTGACATATGGACAATTAATCAGTATAATTCAAAAGGAAGTTACAAATTTGTCAAGACTTAAAGCTTCAAAGAACTTTAAAATATGAGTTGCACAAAACTAAACAAGAATTAGGATCTTTTTGTAAACAATTTGATTATGGCATGACATCTACTCAGAGATGCAGAGGCCAGTGTTCTGAACCACCTAAACCTAAAAAACACTATAAAAACAAGGTATATAAAAAAGCAATACAAGTCTAAACCTAGTTCAAGATAAATATTATCAAAAGAAAAATCAAACCTATAAGAAATATAAACAAGCAACATATAAGACTCTCCAAATAAAAACTTCTTATAAAGATTAACTGTTAATAAATTGTGGTAAGAAAGGACATACTTCAAATTTCTTGTCGATTCATAAAAAAATTAAATGCATAAATTAGAAGAAGAAAGTGTTAAATAAAATCATGAACTATATCTCGATTTCAGATCACCTCAAGAATCAGAGGTATCGAAAGTGAAAATCAAATTGATGAACTAGGAAACAACAATAGTTCTTAAAAGCAAAACCATAAACAGTTACTAAAGAGATCAAAGTACACTGATGAAAAACATGCTTACTAAAGATCAAAGTACACTTTTAGAAGTGGTAAATACTATAACTGATACTGAAACTAAGACACAGCTCCTTAAAAAATTAATAAACAATTTTGAAGAAGAAAAGGAATTAAAAGAAATAACCCCTAAACTACAAACTAACACTTATGATTTGACTACTATATTAAATAAAAATAAGAAAATAGAAATGGAAATCTCCACTAAAGAATTACAAAAAGAAATTAGAACTCTAAAACATGAAGTAAACGACTTAAAATTACAATCTCACAAAATGCTAAGAAAATAAAGTTATTAGAAACTCAAATCATATCTAGTTCTTCTTCAGAAGAACCAGATGATGACATAAAAGATGAAATAAATCAATTAGAAGAAGAAGAAGAAATAAATCATAATTTTCTATTTTTATTGCAAGAAATTACTTCAACAAAATATTTAGTAAAAATAAACATTAAAATAGGAAATGATTTTATCTTAGATGCAATAGCATTATTTGATACAGGAGCATATTTAAATTGTATAAAATCAGATCTAGTACCTAAAAGATATTGGTTAGACACTAAAGAAAAATTAAGCACAGCAAATAAAACCAAATTAGATATAGTGGGTAAGGTAGAAGCACTAATTATAAACCAAGATTTAGAAATAAGAACAGTATTTTTAATCAAATAAATTATATGGTAATTTTAGGAACACATTTTATAAACCTAATAACACCCTATTCAGTTAAGGAAGATTGTATTAAATTCAAAATTAGAAATAAAAAGGCTAGACTTGAGTTTACAGAGAAACCTAGGAGAAAAAACTTAAATTTACTAAAAGCTCATTCTATTAGAACCATAGAAATCAATTCATTAATAAAATCCAAGGAAGAAAACTTAAAAGATTTAAAGAATAATATGTGTTTAAAAAGAATTAAAGAACAACTAGAAACCGAATTTATACAAAATAAAATAAAAACCCTAAAAGATTATATGGAGAAAAAACTTTGTGCAGATCACCCTAATGCTTTTTAGAACCGTAAACAGCATATAATTGATTTACCATATGAAAATAATTTTAATTTTGATGAAAACACTATTACAACTAAAGCTAGGCCAATTCCAAATGAAACCTGGAATTAATAGAACATTGTAAAAAGAATCGAAAGAATTAGAAAATAAAAATTAATTTAGTAAATCCAGAGCCCATGGTCATGTGCGGCATTTATGTTATAAAAATGCAGAAAATAGAAAGAGGAAGTACCAAAGTTGGTAATAAACTATAACGTAAATGGCAGCATTAAAATGGGATAAGATACCCAATTCAAATAAAAAGATCTTCTTGAAGAAAGTACAATGCTAATATTTTTAGTAAATTTGACATGAAATCAGGATATTGGCAAATACAAATTGCCCTTAAAGATAGATATAAAACAGCATTTACAGTTCCTTTCGATCAATACAAATGGAATGTAATGCCTTTTGGATTAAAAAATGCACCTTCAGAATTTCAAAGAATAATTAATGATATATTTAACCCATATTCACAGTTTTGTATAGTCTATATTGATGATGTATTAGTATTTAGTCAAACTATTGAAACCCATTTTAAACATTTAAAAACTTTCTGTATAATTATAGAAAAAAATGGTTTAGCACTTAGTAAAACTAAAATGGATTTATTTAAAACTAAAATCAGATTTTTAGGACATTATATTGAACAAGGACTTATACAACCTATAGAAAGAACCTTAGTATTTGGAGAGAAATTTCCTGATGAAATAACTAATAAAGTACAACTTCAGAGATTTCTTGGTTGTTTAAATTATGTCATTGATTTTTATCCTAATTTAAATTGTATTAATTTAAATTGTATGAATAAAACTTTACATGATAGACTTAAGAATAAACGCTGGTCCCTGGACGAACACATACACAATTTGTAAAAAATATAAATATTAGTCAAAGAAATTCCTTATTTATACATCCAATCCAACTGCATTTAAAAATTGTAGAACAGATGCATTCCAATATAGGATTAGGAGGCTCTTAAAACAAACATCAATGGCAAAAGCGTATAAATCCAATATACGTTCAGGCCATTGACCAGACAAGGAAAATTTATTTACACTATAAAAAGAAATTTTAGCATATTATATGTATAAAAATTTAATCGATTACTAAATCTTTACTCAGAATTGATTGTAAATCTGCAAAAGATGTTTTGCAAAAAGATGTTCAAAATCTTGCTTCTAAACAAATTTTTGCAAGATGGCAAGCACTCTTAAGTATTTTTGAATTTGATATTGAATATATTAAAGGGAATACTAATAATATCCCAGACTTTTTGACACGAGAATTCTTACAGAACAATGGGAAAGAAGAAGGATAAAGGGAAAGAATCAGATTCACCTACTAAAGCCCTTTCAGACCATTCTGAAGATCTCAATAAAACCCTTACTCTAAACAGTAAACCAACCCCTTATAAAGACCTCAAAAAATGGATTGAAGAACTCAGTCAATCTCCAGAGGTATTAAAGGCCTTGCAAGGTATGGCATCTTCTTCCACAGAAGATACAGGTATAATTTCTAAAACTCAAGCGATCGTATCCGCTCATGGTACGACTAGTCTGTCTCAGTCTGTCTCAAACGGTAGACAGTAAAGACATATCAAATCCGTTGATGGCTGTGGATTTGCCAAAAATCCAGTATTCTAATACTAGTAGTATTCATAAATGGTTTGGAAAAAATGTTTATGATTATGAAATTGAAGTCGAGGACGGATATAATAATATTAATCCTTGGCAAATCATAAAGCATTATTATCCCGAGGATTGGTATTTTGTTCCAACTGATTTTTCAAAACCTCAGGAGTATTATCATAATATTTTAATAGATACTGGTTCTGTAAAAATAAAACACACTTTTGATCCAAAACATAAAAATGTAATTTCTTATTCTTCTATTCAAATAAAACGGGTTATTCATCCTAAAGATTGGCCCGTATCTTCACTTTCTACTCCAGTAAGATTTAAAGTTTTACATAAAAGTTTTTACATTAAACACACATACTATCATATAATTATTTTGATCTACAAAGATCTTGGAAAAAGTTTTTGTATTCAAATCAACTCCATCATTCGTGGTTTAGTTTATTTTGATCAACAATATCCGAACGATTTACAAACCAAACTGGTTTAAAAAATGGTGGCAGTCCAGAGGTATATCTGAGGATATAATTCCCCTGATATTATTTCTTTTTTTTAATATCAGATTATTTTAATCCCACTAATAACTAATCCTGGAGACGTCCATAATTCCATCCTTGATGTATTATTGTATGACTTCTCACCCCTTGGATATATAGTGGTATTTTGATTATTCAATATGTTCTTGGGAACCCACCTATGTTGGTAAAAAGACACAAAATAAAATGGTGGGGATCTTTTAAAAATACCACTACTGAAATAAAGATCAGTCAATGGATTCGTACTAAAATAGTTAACTCCTCCATGCCAGCATTAACCTATGCTAGTACTCTAGCTATTCCGGATAACCCTACATTTGGAATCCAGAAAGCACAGTGTCAAGTCCGGTTAGCTGCGGCTAAAACTCCAGAAGAATATAAACTGATCTGCCAAGAAATGTTTCAACAACTTTCAACCAGCTCAGATCTCCCAGTAAACCCACCATCCAGTAAATCTAGAGGTGTATCATCTGGTAAATCCTCCTCTAAAACAAGTCATAAAGGCAAAAATAAACTCGTTTCATCATCGTCTTCAGCAGTCTCCGTATCTTCCTTCGAAGACAGTAATGAAGACGATATTCTGCCAACCATAAAAATTAAAAGTAAAGCAGATAAAAAAGCAAAAGCAAGAAAAGAAAAAATAAAGCAAAAAGAAAAAAGAAAAGAAGAAATAAAAAGAAAAGAAAAGAAAAAGAAGGACACATCATCGTCCTCATCTTGTTTTGATTCACTATAAAACAGGCAGAAGGAACCTTATTCCTTCCACCCCTTATTTTTCAACAGTAAAAGCCAAGCTACTATTTCCACAGTAGAAGCCAGGTTACTATATCAACAGTAAAGGTGTAAAGGTCAAGATTCGGTGGCAGACCAACCACTGTTCATCCACAGTAAAGGTCAAGATTCGGTGGCAGACCAACCACTATTCATCAACAGTAAAAGATAAACAGTAAAGATTCTTAATTTTCTTATAAATAGGGAGCCTCTCCCCTTGTGAAGGCACAAGCCAGATATAAGCTAGAAATACCTCTCTCTCTCTTAGAAGTCCCTCTCTATTCTTCTCTCTCCTTATTCTCAGTTGATTGTAAGCATTCAAATTTGGAAGTCTAAATATAAAACCTTTGTAAGTATAAATATTGTAATATATTTAAATTTTGTATTTAAATAAAATTGTTTAAATTTGCTTCTATTAAGTCCGTGTTGACGGCACCTTTCTCTTCTCCCTCCACACTCTGACTTAATTCTGGGGATCCCAGGTTAAGGTTGCAGGAACCCTAAATTGTTTAAATTTGTTGCTGTGTTTGTTGCTAAAATCATATTATTGCTGCGTTATTATTGTTTATTAGCTTTTGTTTATATATATATATATATATATTATATAATATATATATATAATAATGCTATTATATATATATATATATATATATATGCTTTGGTGTTCTGAATTTTTAAATTTTAAAAATAAATAAATTACTAATCCGATATTTTCTTGTAGTGGGCGATGCTATAAAACATGTGCATTGAAATTTTCGCTCATTCAATGCTTTAATGGTAGTTGATTGCTAAAGTAAGAGATAATAAAATTTTTGAATTTTAAAATTTCATACTGTCTCCTCTTAAATTTACAAATTAAAAATTGAGGACAAAAATGGATAATTACTGTTGAACAATTCAAGCTTGTCATGAGTGGAAAAATCTTTTTTCATATATTATTGACAAAAATGGATAATCTGATCAAATATCCCGAAATTTATTAGTTTGTGTAATTTAATCTTTTTGTCAATTTTATCCCAATTTCAACTTTTTCTAGCAATAGCATTCTCAATTTCAATTAAGGATTACATTGCAAGTAAAAAAATATTTCCATCATTTTTAAATCATCATATGACTTTGATAAAAATTAAAAAAATAAATTGAAAAGATTTCATTAATATGAACAAATAACGTTCCACAGGTTAAATTTCAATTTTTGAAATAAATGTGCTAATTAATAATTTAACAACATAGATTTATGTTACTAACCAAAAATATTCAAGTATGGCATACAAATTAAATTAATAAATTGTAATTTTTAAAATTATGAATTTTATTTTATATTATTTATACTTGAAGGATATAAAAAAAATCCTGAGTGTAGTAATATTTTGGATTAATAATATAGTCAAATTATAATTTATTTAATAAAAAATAAATTATTAATTATTTTAAGGGATATATCAGTTTTTGAAAAATATTTTTAAAAAATATCAATTTGAATTTTAGATTTAAATTATTGTCAATTAGACTATATTTTTACTTTTGTATGCTGTTTTTTAATTTTTAAGGCGTTAGTTTGTTAGTATTTTTAGAGTTTTAATTTCTTACTGTTTCCTTTTGTATTAATTTCCAATTTTCATTATTGTTTCATTTTTTTTAGTTTGTTTTCTTTTTTTGCTCTACCGTTTTTTTTAGCCGGGCATTTTGTTCTTATTACTCTTTCTCCGTTCCATGTCGACATTCTTCACGCCGATATTTTTACAATCGATTAATTTTTCTTCTTCTTTCAATCGTAGACCTGAACTTTGACTTCAGCAGCAAGATCAACATAAGAAACATCATCGCATGCACACCCGGAGTGAGAGTCCTTACCGAAAAATATATTTTTGTTCTACGATTAAATTTTCGTTTTCGTTTCTGTTTCTCAATGGGAAATAAATTCCTAATCTATGATTTCATCTCCATAAATGTTGTTTTTATTTTGAAGAGATAAGGTAGGACTCTCGATTTTGTTTGGATTACTACTGATACAATATATATACACTGTATTAATTTACTTGGTTTGATCGAATGCGTTAATTGATGCATGTGTGTGTATATATACACACACGTGGTATACAAAGCATATATTCATAAAGCAAACCAATTATATACATATATTTAATTGATTTTACATATGAATATATATATGAAATAATATATAATATAATTATAATATGATATATATATTATATAATATCCGCTTCTTCGTCCCTGAGCTTTTGTTGTGCCTGCCTATATATATATTATACTATATATATATATATATATACATATATACTGTTTAAACCAGAAAACTTATATATGTGTATAGACCATATTTACCGTTAAATTGGAAAATAGTTTTCGGTTGTTTGTTTCTTCAATTATGGAAATGAAATCACAAAATTATTTTGTATATATACCTAGTTTTTCTGTTTTCTTTTCCTAATTTGCCTAATTTTTTGGAGGTTGTCGTGGGTTGAAGGAGAGACGGTTAGTTTTAGGGTTGATTCTGTTTTGACTTTGTTTTCAGCGTGCTTATTGAAGGTGGAAGATTGCGCCGTTAGGAGACTGTTTTGGAGTACAGGCGATTAGTTTTAGACTAGAGCTAATTGTTACTTTTGTTTTATCAGCTATCGTTTCTCATTTAAGGTTAGTTTTGGTATTATTAGATTTATTTTGACCAAATTGGTTATAATCTTAATAAGTTTTTTTTTTGACATTTAGTTAAATTTAAACTTTATATCTGACATTTATTAAATTGTTCCTTATTTTAATTATACATGTTTTAAATATCATATTTTTATAAATTTATTAAAATGTGAAATATAATTTGATAGTCAAAGGATATTTAAAATTTTATTTTTATTAATAATTTTTTAAAAAACGATAGAATTTTTTTATTTGCAATTGGACCCTTAAACAATTACAACTGAAAATGTTGTTCTTATAAAAAATCAAAATTAAAGTAAAATTGACAGAAATATCAAAATGGATAAAACTACAGTACAAAAGTTTAAAATTATGTATCTATAAAGAAATATTCATTTTCCATTAAATTAATCTACTTAATTATAAGCCATTGGATTTAAAAAACATTCAATGACTTGCTACCTATAAAATATGTCATTATTTATTATTCATGTATCTTATTATTATCATTATTATTAAACACTAATGTAAATTTCAACAACACTAAAAAAAGAACAATTAAGCTTAATTATCTAAATAACATTTTAAAATTTTGTGATGCTCATGATTTAATTTTTTATGCCTATGATATTTAGAATATAGTTTATTTAAGTTGAATTTTATTTCTAATCTTCAAAATATAACCAAAATTTAATCTGTATATCAAAATTATATTTGTAACCTAAAAATTATAAAGCGTATTTTTCTATTTAAAAAAACGGGGTCTATATTTTTTAAAATGTAACCTATTGCTTAATTCTATACCATGTTAATTTTATCTATTAATTTACTTGTAGAAAACTGGAATAATTTTCTAGAAAAGTTTTCCAAAAAAATTGGAAAACAGAATTTTGTATTAAAATCAGTC